GTTCCACTGACTTTTACAGATGTATCAATCTCTTGAAAAGCGGAGCTGGATGCTGTTGATGTTTCAGTTTTGTTGTCAAAACAGACGTAGGAGCCAAATCTGCATGCAAAGATGATACAATTTAGATATGTGTGAAGAGATTCTCTCTCATCTTTAATGTGTCTGTATAGCACCAGCTCCAATTGCAGCATGATAATAATAATAACAACAATAGTGATGGGATAAAGCCAACATTGCTCTGAAAATCAGTGAGATAACCAGCTAATAGTCCCGGAGAGGGATGAAGGTCCTCTGGATTGTGTGGCTCAGACTGGAGTTCATCTGATTATGCCTAGTAGGAGGTGTTTAAAATGAGGTATTTATTGCAGAAACGTTCCCTGTATTAATAGGTTTGTGCAGCACAGTGGAGGTGAGAACAGGGAGCAGGGTGACTTCTCCGGCTCATGAGGGAGGGATGTGGTGGGGAGAAGAATTTTTGGAGATGATGCAGAGCTTCACGGAACTGCTGCAGTTTGGATCGCTATTATGTTAAAGCACAGCAGTGCAAACTCACTAAAATGCGTAGTGGCACAGCCTCAGAACTGTATAAATTAGGGGAACTGGAAAACAGTGGTTCTCAATACTACAACTTGCTGATAACTCTCCTTGGCCAGAGGTGGTCAGAGAGTGTTTCCTAATCTTCTGGTGTCAGCACATAAACAAGGCAATTTTTGTTTCTGAAATGCAATTTCAACAGTAGTTTCTTCATAAAATTCAAGGCACTCCCATTCTGGTAAGATTTATTTTGTTTCATTTGATATACACAGGAAGAAACTACTTCTTTGGTGCTGAGAAGGAATATCGGGAATATTTACATTTGAATAATATTTAACTAGCAATGCTTAATACATTAACAATAAATCTTGGTTAGATTCTAAATTAAGTGGATTTGCATCTGAGTAGGTGAGATGAACGGGAGAGATTTTGTCGAAACATAAACAAGACAGAAATTTGTTCCAAAATAATTTAGCCCAAAGCATGTCAACAATGATGTTCAATAGTTCCCTCCTCCAGAAACAGTTTTAGGTGCCTCATTGCCTGTGTCATGCATATCATTTCTTACAAAGAAGCTGAAAAAGTGTCTTTTTTGGGGGGGTTGTTTTTTTTTTTTCCCTAAAGCCTCAATGGTCTGCAGAGTGTTGCTGAGCAAATTTAGATGGGTACTTCCCTAGTGCTTTCTGGCCTTTCTAAGTAGATATGGTGAGTGACTAACCCCAGGTGTTTTCAGACTAATCACACATAGCTGGTAGCTTACAGGTGGCCAGGAAGGTGTTTTATTTTATTTTTCTCCCTTTGTGTAACCCTTAGCACACATCATTGAGTATATGTCTTGGTATATTGGACCAAGGAGACAAAAGATTTAAGCAGAGTTTATGTTCTTAAGAAATATCACGTTGCAGCCATTCAAAGGGGAATTCTGGATAGCTAACTCATGTTGGGGATTTGCAGTTTGGACTTTCTTCTGATTTGCTGTGAGGTGTCTTTAGGTTGAGCACAGATGTGAAATCAAAGTGTTCAGATACAAGGTGCTTCCCTGTTGTGTTGACTCCAGAATGATTTGCTTTGGGCAAAGGGAAGGTGGCCTCAGTGCCTGTAAACTGAATGGCCAGCCAGGGCTGCCTCTGGTCTGAAATACCCATCCATGTCAAAGCTTCTTCTCCTGTGTCTTCTCGGGAATGGGTGAAGAATTGCCACGTACTGCCTCACGCCAGCCACGTCTGCTCGGGAAGTTCCTCACTGGTTTTCTGTTCTCCTCTCGTGGGGTGGTTTGCAGGGTGCCCTGGAGATGCGAGACTTCCCCTGGGCAGCAGGAGGCACGCGTCTAGAGAATGCTGGAGCTGCAGGAGGGAAGTGCCCAGTGCAAAAGCAGCGAGGAGCCAAGAGAAAAAAGGCAAGCAGACAGCCAGCACTGAGAGGAGCGGGTGGCAGGAAGCGCTTCGACGCTGCCTCTGGCGGCACGATCCCCAGGGGAACTTGACGAGAGCCCATCTGCGTGTGTGTGAGACTGTGAGCTCAGGATTTCTGTCAATGCATTCCAGTAACCCCAAAGTGAGGAACTCCCCGTCAGGCAACACACAGAGGTAAGGGGAAGAGCCTGCAGTCAGCTGCTCTGGGTTGGTGCGTGTTGCTGTCCCTGCTCTGCTGCTGGATTAGCTCCACTGGCCCTCCTTTGTGCTCCCATCAGACCCACCGAGTGCCTGAGCAGTGGCTGCACAGTGCTGACGGGTCTTCAGGTTTGCAAGGCTCAGGAGGAGCTGAAAGCTGTGGATTTTCCATTCCTTGTGCCTTCTTCCCTTCCCATCAGGTGCCTGAAAAGGCTGTAGGAGAGTAAACATGCCTTTTCTATCTTGATTTCTCCCCCCCTCCCTCCTCCTCTTCTAATTACCTGTTTCCCAGGGGGTAGTTGGGCAGCAGGTCTCTCTACTTGTATTTTCACACGAAATGTTTCCTCTGTATTATTGGCCTGAGCAGCCTGGAGAACTAATCTGCTGAGCACTGGGATCCTCTGTGTCAGTCACCTGCCAGTGCAGCGGGTCAGCATCTCTCCTCCACTAATCTGGAAGGGGAAGAATATGGAAGCAAAGCAGCGCCCAGGGACTTGGAATGGTCTGATTGACAGCATTCTTGGGTTTGATTCTTTACTCCTAGAGGTGATCTGGAACTTAGAAGTATTTCAGAGGGAATGCTCCTTAGTCAGATGTCTGTCCTAAGGAGGAAACAGCTTGTGTGAGTCCCACAGTGAGGATGCTAGCAAGCACTGCCTGTTGGAAGTGATATTGATGATGGGAAAACACGATGCAGAAGATCCAATAGCAATGGAGTAAGAGGAGGGTGAGGAGGAAGGGGTGGCTAATATGTCTGTAAACCCCAGAGGAGCAAAATATTTTTAGGATCCAATTTGCTGGATGAAAGAAGGAAGGAAAGACTCTTGAGTCTGCTTTGGCAAATTAAGGAAGCTCCATCTACCCCATTTTGCAGGAGTGTGCTTGGGAGATGGTATCCTTCCTTTTCCTTCCTTATTCAGAGGCAGGTTGTAGCTGGTTTAATTGTTTTCACGGTCAGAGGTTTGTGTTTTCCTGGCAGCTCGCCCCAGTGTATGACGAATGCCGCAGTAATGCTGGGTTTTCCTTGTGCTCCCTGTAGAACTGGATAGGGAGGTGCAAGGGAGGGGGGTGGGGGTCTTCTCTGATCGGAGCTGTAGCATGTAGTCGGGGTCCAGGAGAGTGGTGAGGTGAACTTTATTGTGCCTTGTTTATTTATTCTGAGCTGATCTTGGTGAGAGGCGCTTCTCTGTGCACATAGAAACCGTTGTCTTTATTGACAGAAGCTCCAGAGGTGGGTCCTCATGTGACAGCAGTTTCTGGGATCTGGCAGGTCTGTGGTTTGCCCTGGTGCCTTCTTGAGCAATGAGATCCCATCTTGGATAATAACCCTTTCAGGGCATGTTCAGAAAAGCACCTGCATGACTCTAAGCTTGCAGGCATTTTTTATGTGTCAGCAATTGTCTTAGCTTGCAAGGTGACAGTGGTTGTTTCTGCTTCACTCACTCTAATCTGTTCCTACAGGGCTGAATGGATCAATGCGGTGATTTGTCACTTTTTTTGTCTTTTTTTATTTCCCCTCTGTCCCCTGTAGCCCCAAATCAAAGCAGGAGGTGATGGTCCGCCCCCCTACAGTGATGTCCCCGTCTGGCAACCCTCAGCTGGATTCCAAATTTTCCAACCAAGGCAAACAAGGGGGCTCCACCAGCCAATCCCAGCCCTCTCCCTGTGACCCCAAAAGTGGAGGTCACACCCCCAAAGTGCTCCCTGGCCCAGGTGGGAGCATGGGGCTGAAGAATGGGGCTGGAAATGGTGCCAAGGGGAAGGGGAAAAGAGAGAGGAGCATTTCAGCAGACTCCTTTGAACAGAGGGAAGCTGGGACTCCTAATGATGACCCTGAAATCAAAGGTATGCTTGCTAGGATTTGGTGTGCAAGTGCAGACAATTAGTCTGAATCCTCTGTAAGGTGGAGAATTGCTATGCAAATGTTACTTGTCTGGGATTCTGTAAGTTCCCTTGACGAAGTCTAAAGGTCTGGAGAGCAGGGGAAGAGGAAAGGTTGTTATGACATTGGCAAATGTCTTGTTCACGCTCAGTTAAAGAGCAGGCCTGACTGGTGGGAAAGTTCCTTTGTAACTCTGAAACTCTCCCAGAGGATTTGAAAGTACAAATGCAACCTGTTGGTTTCCTTCTGGCCTTTGGCCTTTCAGGAACTGCTCTGTTGTAACAGGTTTTGAACAATATGCAAGTCTGTTTTGTCAACACAGATACCTAACCCGTAGTACCCTGGCTGGTAACACAAGCCAGAGAGTTGGGATTTCTGTGTTCTGTTCCTGGCTCCAACGCTGCCCCTGTGAGGCAGTGCAAAACCACACTAGATGTGCAATTGTCCGTCTTTCCCTTGTGGTCCATTTGCTGGGTCGCCTGGCTGAGGTGGCTGAAGGGAAAAAAACAAAGTGAAATTTTACAAGTATTCTTCTGGGAAGCAGACATATTTATATTAGTTCATTTTAGTGTGTGATTTTCCTGCTTTTCTATGTGGCCATTAGAGAACTCAAAGGGATCAGCTCGAAGGGATCAGCACTGGGAACTGCCACGTGCCTTGAAAAGGGACAAGATGAGCTTTCTCCCAGTGGTACCTGAAGGGCAGCGTGGCATTAGGGGAAAGTTGCATGGTATAATAGAAGAATTGCCTTTAGTGTTGCTTGAGGAAGAAGCAGGAAATTTCAGAGGGGAAAAAGCTCTGATCAGTTTCCAGAAATGGTTTCCAAAGTGCTCCCAAGGTAGCAATTCCTCTCTTTTCCTTTCTCCCTTTCCAGACTGCAATTCTGCTGATCATGTGAAGTCCCAGGAGTCTCAGCACACACCACACTCCATGACTCCTTCTAATGCTTCAGCCCCAAGGTCTTCCACACCTTCCCATGGTCTGACTGCCACTCTGGAGCCAGCGAGTGGGCAGAAGACTCCATCCAAAGTGGTTTATGTCTTTTCTACTGAGATGGCCAACAAGTAAGTAGGTAGATGCTGAAATGTCTTCAGGGAGCGGGGGTTCTATTTGTGCTCCCTTTTTAAGAGACTGTCAAAAGGGCACTTTCTGCATCAAGTAGCAAAAAGTCATTAGTTGTTTTGGTGTTGTTGGAGGGGCTGTAGTGGGGAATGTCCCTACTTTTTTCCTCTGAGAAATGATTGCTTATTCCTCTGAGGTACGGAGATTTTTATTTGTTTCTTGCAAATGGTGGTAGATGGTGTTTTGCAATCCGTGCAGTGAGTAGCAGCCAGAATGGGCTAAACTGAGACATGAACCCTGAATGCTGATGAGTTTGTAGATGTAAGCATTTTTCTGTTGCTACTCATCTAGAGTGAAATATATGTGGTTAAGTCTTTCTCCCTTGTGCCAGCTGAAAGATAGAAGAGAGGCCATTTAAAAAAAATGATTCTTAATTTCAGTTGGATATGTGCATCTGCCTGTCTGTCTTTGCAGGGCTGCAGAAGCTGTGCTGAAGGGACAGGTGGAAACCATTGTGTCCTTTCATATCCAGAACATCTCAAACAGCAAGGCGGAACGAAACACTGTACCTTTGGTAGGGAATACCTGCGTGTGGGTGGGAAGGGGAAATGGTCAATGTGCTTGTGTGTGATTCAGAGAGATGGATGGTTATCTATGCTTGGAAATAAGTTTCAGGAAGACAGTTTTTGTTCAGACCTTCTGCACATTATTGTCTTGGGTCGTCCAAAGGAGAGTTTGAGTCTTGCAGTATTTGGGTGGTGTGTTTCCAACCCATTGCTCATGCAGAGCTAGCACAGAAGAAAGGGCTTCCTGCAATAATGCCTTGAGCAAAACAGGTACTGTTCTGTAATAGCTGCATGAAGGCTACCCTTCCCTGCAAAGTTTGGGCTGGTGGGGTTGGGACTGGGCATTTTGTTTGCACTGCTGCTTGTGTGCCAGGGCTGCAGGAAGAGCAGGTGACAGTGTGTGGCTTTCTCTTGCAGAACCCCCAGATCACTGCACTTCGGACTGAACCCAAGCCCCTGCCGCAGCCCCAGCCCCCCGCAGCCCCGGACCAGAACCCTCCACAGAACGCCAAAATGCAGCCGACCCCACCCGTGTCAGCACCGGTGTCCAAATCCACTGGCCCCCCGTGTCCCATAGATCAGGACAGTCCCAACGTGGAAAGCAAAGTGATGTCTGTGGGCAGCCCTGCCAACTCTACCCCGTTGCAGACAGAAGGGTTTGGGCAGAGTTCAACCCCCAATAACCGAGCGGTGAGCCCGGTTTCCCAAGGTAGCAATAGCTCAGCTGCAGACTCCAAAGGTCCTCCACAGCAGGTGTCTGGTGGGGACCCGTCCAGTTTGGGCGAGAATCCAGATGGACTGTCCCAGGAGCAGCTGGAGCATCGAGAGCGCTCACTGCAGACCCTGCGGGACATACAGCGCATGCTCTTCCCTGATGAGAAGGAGTTTGCTGGAGGGCAAAGTGGGGGGCCTCCCCCAAATGCTGGGGTGCTGGATGGTCCCCAAAAGAAACCTGAAGGGCCGATACAGGCTATGATGGCTCAATCCCAAAGTTTAGGCAAAGGGTCAGGGTCTCGGACAGATGGAGGGGCTCCGTTTGGCCCTCAAGGACACAGGGACATGCCTTTTTCCCCAGATGAAATGGGGCCACCACCAATGAACTCCCAGTCAGGACCCATAGGCCCAGACCACCTGGACCATATGACTCCTGAGCAGGTGGCCTGGCTCAAGCTGCAGCAGGAGTTCTATGAGGAGAAGAGAAGAAAGCAAGAGCAGGTGGTTGTGCAGCAGTGTTCCCTGCAGGATATGATGGTCCACCAGCACGGGCCTCGGGGGGTGGTCCGAGGTCCTCCTCCTCCCTACCAGATGACCCCTGGGGAGGGCTGGGGACCTGGGGGCCCAGAGCCCTTCCCTGAAGGCATGAACATGTCGCACTCTCTGCCCCCCAGGGGCATGGCCCCTCATCCCAACGTGCCCGGGAGCCAGATGCGCCTGCCTGGCTTTGCAGGAATGATGAACCCTGAGATGGAGGGCCCCAGTGTCCCGAATCCCGCCTCACGGCCTGGGCTTTCAGGAGTTAGTTGGCCAGATGATGTGCCAAAAATCCCAGATGGCCGAAACTTCCCTCCTGGCCAGGGTGTCTTCAGTGGCCCTGGCCGAGGGGAGCGGTTTCCCAATCCGCAGGGCCTGCCCGAAGAGCTCTACCAGCAGCAGCTGGCTGAGAAACAGATGGGCCTTCCTCCTGGTCTGAACATGGAAGGCATCAGGCCTGGCATGGAGATAAACAGAATGATGCCCTCCCAGAGACACATGGAGCCTGGGAACAACCCCATCTTCCCTCGCATGCCGGTAGAAGGACCGATGAGCCCTTCCAGGGGGGACTTCCCGAAAGGAATACCCCCACAAATGGCTTCTAGCAGGGAGCTGGAGTTTGGGATGGGCCCTGGCAGCATGAAGGGGGACATGGGCATGAATGTCAGCATGGGCTCCAACCCACCCCTGGTCCCTCAGAAGCTGAGGGAGGCAGGAGTCGGGCCGGAAGAGATGATGAAGCTGCGCCCTGGCGTCTCGGAGATGCTCTCCTCTCAGCAGAAAATGGTGCCGCTGCCGTTCGGGGAGCACCCGCAGCAGGAGTACGGCATGGGTCCCAGGCCTTTCCTTCCCATGTCTCAGGGCCCAGGAGTCGGTCTCCGGAATCTCAGAGAGCAGATCGGGCCTGACCAAAGGACTAACAACCGGCTCAGCCACATGCCGCCACTACCTCTCAATCCCACCAGTAACCCCAACAGCCTCAACACTGCTCCCCCTGCGCAGCGCAGCCTCGGCCGCAAGCCCTTGGATATCTCCGCAGCTGGCCAGGTGCATTCGCCAGGAATCAACCCCTTGAAGTCCCCCACGATGCGCCAGGTCCAGTCTCCCATGATGGGGTCTCCCTCGGGGAACCTCAAGTCCCCCCAGACGCCCTCCCAGCTGGCAGGAATGCTCGCGGGCCCCACTGCCGCAGCCGCTGCTGCCTCCATTAAGTCCCCCCCTGTCTTGGGGTCTGCTGCTGCTTCTCCTGTCCACCTCAAGTCTCCGTCTCTCCCCGCACCTTCTCCTGGATGGACTTCATCTCCAAAGCCTCCTTTGCAGAGCCCTGGGATTCCCCCGAACCACAAGGCGTCTCTGACCATGTCTTCTCCAGCCATGCTGGGGAACGTGGAGTCGGGTGAGTGCCGCCTCTGGCAGCCAGATCTGGTGCTTTGGTTCGCGTCGGGTCACCCAGCACGTGCAGCAAGGGAGGGAGAAGGGTTCTCTCAGCGGGGCAAAGGCTGGATGGCCATTTGCCTGTTGGAGGGGGGCTATGTGAGTGAAGGGCAAGGGCTTTTCCTCCTCTTGTATTTGTGGGTGTGTACTGTGCCTCCCATATGTCAAAGCTGAGGGCTGATCACTCAGAGGACATAAAAGGAAAAGCGTAGGGTCAAGAGATGTGAAAAGATGTAGGGGGTTGATGGGAGAAATCTCTCCTTGGCGGGGTCTGGCTGTTGTAGCTCATGGTGATTGTAGCTTTGTGGAGAAGATCCTGCTTATGTTACAAAAACTCTTTGAGATAAAAAGCTCCTATAAAGACATGCTGAACACACTTAGCCAGCCCTGTATCTCTACATGGTTCAGGTATGGTTGGTGCTTTTTGGGTTTACGCTGCAGACAGGAACTTGTGCTTCAGTTTTTCAGGCTTCAGACGTTTTGGAGTGATCTAACCACCAACACATGTAGCATTCACTTGTGTGCTGAGCCGTGCTGTGCTTGGCACCTCAGGCTCCAGGTGCTGGCATCCTCTGTCCTCACCTTCCTGGAGCTCACCCTGCAGCACACTCACCCCTCTGGGCTGTCCTTCCCGCCCGGCTGGGAGAGAGAGAGGAGCCCTTTGCCCACGTTGCCCTCTAGTGCTGCCGTGGGTAACGGCGCGGCGGCAGCCGGGACCGGGATGGGGATTAGGATTAGGATTAGGATATGCCTGTGGGGCTGGTGGCAAGGGTAACCCCGGGATTGCAGGCTGGGTCTGTGCTCGGGAAGGCAGACTGGGTGGTAGTGTTTGCTGAGGCCATGCCCAGCGTGAGCCCAGGTGCCTACAAGTCAAAATTTAGTGCTTTAGTCTGTGCCTTGTGGGTCCCTTCCAACTCAGAATAATCTATGAAATCTGTGTGAAATGTTGCTTAATGAGTGCTTTTACACACAGCTCTTCCAAAGCGTGAGTATTTTGGCATTGCAGAATTGTTGTGTTCTCTATTCTACCTCCCTTTTTTTTGGATGGGAAGGGCTGATGAACGTGCAGTGAATTTTCAGTGAGAGCACAACTTCGGTTTAGTATCTTTCCTTCACAGTGGTGTGGGTTTTGTGGAATTTATCAGTGGAAGAACAAAGGAGATTGGCAGTGCAGTTACTCCTGGTTTTGGGAGAGCAAAGGATGATGTTAAGATAATAGGTGCAGAGAATGCTTCTTTAACTGGAATAAGCAGCTAATATGTATATATGAAATATGTAACGAAACATAAACAGGGAGTTACAGCTCCTCACGCAGTTTGTCAGAAATATCTGTTACAGTTTTCCTTGTGCTGCCTGCGTCTTTTATGCTTGCTTGATGCCTCCTAAAGAGAAAGGGAAAGGAGTTACACTTGACATTTGGTGGATGCAGGAACAACTAAGTGATTATAGATTTATATTGATTTTTATGGCTAACTCTGGTACCTGAGTCTCTCTTCGGTGTATGGAAATTGAATAGTAAGATTTTCAGACTAAACTGGTAATTCTTCATGTGGATTTTTAGAGGCTCAAGATAGTTCCAGTAGAAGTGTTTTTCAGTAGGATAACAGATGTTAAGCAACTTGACCAATAGGCTTATTCTTCTGTTTACTTTTCACAGGCATTGACTACATTAGTCACATAAAGTCTTGCAGTAAAAAAGATTTCTAGTTTTTGAGATTTCTTGGGGAAAAGAATTGGATTTAAGGAAAACAGTAAGAAGGATGAAAAATTAAACTTTCTTTCTGTCTTTTCCTTTTTTCCTAAGGTGGTCCACCTCCCTCCACAGTCAGCCAGTCTGCTCCTGTGACTCTCCCTGGAAATCTTCCCTCTAGCAGTCCTTACACAATGCCTCCAGAGCCAACCCTCTCCCAGAATCCCCTCTCCATTATGATGTCCAGGATGTCCAAATTTGCCATGCCGAGCTCTACACCGCTCTATCATGATGCCATCAAAACTGTGGCCAGCTCGGATGACGACTCCCCTCCAGCCCGCTCCCCAAACTTGCCACCTATGAACAGTGTACCAGGTAAGGAAATCAAAGAAACATTGAGCGCAGACATATCACGCAGTACAGTGAGAGTGATTTTTGTGGAAGCTTCATCAAGTGAAGATGGTGAGAGGGGAAAAAACCTCAAGGAATATGTAGCCATGTGTTGTTCTGAGGAAGGCAGTTGCAATTCTCGGAAATGCAGAGATGGAAATTCTCCTTGGAATTGTTTGTTTTGGTTTTTTTTTTCTGTCCAGAAGCTGTCTGATCTGGAAAACCTTTATGTATGGGGGAGATTTCCACTCAGGCAGACTGGAATTAATTGTGTGAGTGAAGGCTGCTCATGGGAATAAGAGTCAGACTTATCCAAAGGAAACCATACCTCACCTGTCTCAAGGCAGTGTCATAGAAGCTTCACGGGTTTTTTGGGGTTGGTTTGGGTTTTTTTTTTTTGACACTGAATCATCAGGTCTTTCTTGGGCTTTGTGGATTGCCTTTTTAATGAGAGTGTTGGAGCACTTTCTGAAAACATAAATCTTCCCATGTAGGGAATATGTAATGGCAGGTGATCTCAACCAGGAATGAGGGAAACTGTCCAGGTCCCTACCTGAAAGAGTTAAAGGAAAAGTAAAATAAAACATTTGGGCTGTCATGTGGGTGAGCATGTATATATGAGAAATCTAGATCCTGCTGATAGCTTAATGTTCATGGGTACCTATTTAATACAAAAGTAGGTTGTAGTCCCTCTACCCAATTGAATTGACAGCTTAAAGAAGGAATGAGTGGATGTTTCATGAGAGTGGCAATTAGTAATGAGTCCTTGCTGGGTGTACCTGCAGCCTTGCTGTGTGTTTCACGCAGTAATGATCGGGGTGGCTGAATGTATCTGGGGAAGCTGGCTAATTGAATAAGTTCATGATGATAACTCATTAACCTCATTGATTGCTGCCTCCTTGTCTTACAAGGGTTACCTGATTTATCATTGCTTGAGTTTTGAGAGGAGATTCGGTCACTTCCCAGCAGACAAGTGTCCATATGCTGATAATCTGTCACAGACATGTTTGTTACTGCCTGCTTCATGTAGGCTACCAGGGTATGGGTTGGATTGAGATCCTGCTTATGGAGCAGGCTTTCGTCATTGGTTCACAGAGCAGTGAGAAGCTTAGGGAAGCAGCTATTCAGGTGCCATCAAATTTCTGGTTAAAATAGCACTTTTCAGAGCCACTGCTAATGTTTTTTTACTAGGGCTGAGGTTTTTTTTTGGGGGGTGTGTGCAGACTTGGTAACCTTGCAGAAAGCTCTCTGATAGCTTTATTGATTATTGCTGGCTGCTGTCTAAATGTGATTCCTTATTTCTTCCCTAGGAATGGGCATTAATTCTCAGAATCCTCGAATTTCAGGTCCAAACCCAGTGGGTCCAATGCCAACCCTTAGCCCAATGGGAATGACCCAGCCTCTTTCCCATAACAACCAGATGCCCTCTCCAAATGCTATGGGACCCAATATACCTCCTCATGGGGTCCCCGTGGGACCCGGCCTGATGTCACACAACCCAATGATGGGACACGGTTCCCAGGAGTCTCCAATGGTACCTCAAGGACGCCTGGGCTTCCCACAGGGGTTCCCTCCCGTACAGTCCCCTCCACAGCAGGTGCCATTTCCACACAACGGGCCCAGCGGTGGACAAGGCAACTTCCCAGCGGGAATGGGCTTCCACGGAGAAGGACCTCTGGGGCGTCCTACCAACCTGCCCCAAAGTTCGACAGATCCAGCACTTTGCAAGACTGGAGGCCCTGGCGGTCCAGACTCCTTCACTGTTCTCGGAAACAATATGCCTTCGGTTTTCACTGATCCAGAGCTGCAGGAGGTGATCCGCCCTGGAGCCACGGGAATACCCGAGTTCGACCTGTCCAGGATTATCCCGTCGGAGAAGCCTAGCCAGACACTACAGTATTTCCCTCGTGGGGAGGTGCCGGGCCGCAAGCAGCCGCAGGGCCCCGGGCCCGGCTTCTCCCACATGCAGGGGATGATAGGAGAGCAGACCCCGAGGATGGGACTAACGTTGCCTGGCATGGGGGGCCCCGGGCCGGTGGGAACTCCGGATATCCCCCTTGGGACGGCTCCGTCCATGCCAGGCCACAACCCAATGAGGCCCCCGGCCTTCCTGCAGCAGGGCATGATGGGGCCGCACCACCGCATGATGTCACCAGCACAGCCGGCCATGCCCGGCCAGCCCGCCCTCATGAGCAACCCCGTGGCCGCCGTGGGCATGATCCCGGGCAAGGACCGAGCCCCCGCGGGGCTGTACAGCCACCCCGGCCCCGTGGGGTCGCCCGGCATGATGATGTCAATGCAGGGCATGATGGGACCCCAACAAAACATCATGATTCCCCCCCAGATGAGGCCCCGAGGTATGGCTGCTGACGTTGGCATGGGAGGATTTAGCCAAGGCCCTGGAAACCCGGGGAACATGATGTTTTAAGCTGCTACCATAAGACTGGATGTTCCGATCCTTGTCAAGATGAGATTCCAAGTCCTGAGGGCTTTTTGGGAGCTTCAGGAGTACAGTTTGGCCATGCAATAGGTGAAAAGAGACCAGAGGACGCTTTGGGAAATCTCGAATGTATGGAATTACCTGAAAAAAAAAAAAAAAAATTATTCATTTAAACAGGTCGTTTTTTTTTTAAGATTTATTTTTTAAAAATTATTTTTGTGGACTTGGGTATCCCGTGACGGCACCTGCTTTGAGAATCTGTAGCTGTATTTTGAGAATTGCCATTTGTCACAAGTTGCACCATTCTCTGTATGTTTACGTCCTTTGGACTGGCTTCTCCCAGGACTCTCGGTTATTTTTGGGGTTTTTTGTGTACTGTACTATATTGTAAAAGGGATTTTAGCAGAGACTTTAGTCTTTGGGGTGAGAGGAGAATGGGATTCTAGGCTGTTTACTTTAGGTGGAGAATCCATCTTCAGAACTTCGGACTATTTTCCTTCAACTCCAATGTATAGAAAAACCAAACTACGACCTCAGAGCAGAGTATTAATGAAAAGCACAAAAAGGAACTTAAGTTCAGTGAGGGGAATCTTTTAAAAGAAATAAATAATAAGTTAAGGACATATTTTTCAAATTATGGCGTGCTGTCCAGCACCTTCTGTCTCTCCCTCCCACTCTTTATTAAATAGGCTTCTCTCTCTCCGTCCCCTTCTGTCTCCTCCTATGGCAGCTGCAATACATTGTGTTATTTTGGGGAGTAAATCTAGGAGAGCCTCTCCTCACGTGGGGACTCTTCCCACTTCTAGGAAGGGGCTGGACTTGGACACTGTTACATCCTACAGTAGTCTCTCTCACTGTTTCCTATTCTCCTTTTCTTAGAAACCCCAAGTGATTTTATTAATGTGGGAGTGGAACAGACACTAAAAGTTACCCAGGATTTTTTTTTTGTGGTTATTTTTTTTTCCTCCCCAGCGTAAAACGTTCTGTGTAACCTCCATTAAATTTGGTACAAAACCACTCGCCAGGGCTGTGGTGTCAGAAAAATAAAATATATTGTTTCTTACAAAACCAAACTGTCTTCTTTATCCAGTCCAGTTGTTTCTGTGTACATCAAACAGCTGGCCAGATGACTGTTTGCTCTTGCTTATGGTCACAGTGAGACTAGAGGCCAGGTGGGTTAAACTTTGGCAGCTCCTGAAAGTCTGTTCTGTAGGCAGCTGCGTGCTGCTTGCAGGGCAGTTCTGTTCACTTAATCCTGAGCTTGTTTCCTCTTGGAGAGAGGTCTTATTTCAGAACACCCCAGGGACAATAGTTACAAGACTTCCTCAATTTGCTGAGGGTCAAGGAATAGATGAAACTTGTTGTCTCCGTCACTTCCTCACGGGGAGTGAATGCAGCGCGACAAGGTACGTGGTTTTGAGCTCTCCCTGAGCACAGCAGCATCTGTCTGCTGAGCAACGGAGCCCAGTGCTGTGGGGGGCACTGGGACTGTGTCCCCCTCTGGGGGCTTTGGATTGGGTCAGGTCTCTGACTGCCAGCACTGAGAGCCTGAGATAGTGGGGAAAGGATGAACTTAAATAACAAAGGTGAGATAGAAGTTGTCAGTGAGCAGATTTTTATCAAGACAACCCTGCTGAGTAAATTGTTGCTTTGCTGCAGTTCTCATCGATTGCTTCCTAATCCCCTGTCTTTTCAAACTTGCCTTTTGAGACGATTTCAGAATGAAGATTTTATGGTCTTGCCTATGAGGAATGAAAGGCTGGATGACAAAACCTGGGCTGGGAGTTGAGCTTTTCTCCTGGAGAAGACCAGGATAAGCCAGATGTGGATCTGGTAGGGCAGGGCGTGGACTCTGTGGCTGGCTGTTCTCTAGTCCCTCAGTGCTGTATACAGAGTGTGTAATCTGTTCTTCCTTCCACTTACCGTTACTTGAAATTATTTCAATGAGTAGTTTCCTCAGAGCGCTGGCCATTAGTGTGAAACGTCACATGGGGAATGAGTATTTTTAATGTGCTTGTGTGTGAGAATTTTTTAGAGTTAACTGATCCTTAACAAGTGAAAAAGGAATTCCTCTCAGTGGCTGATTTACCAAACTTGTATTGCTGGTGTATAAAATGAGTGGAGCCGAGCACTGTTGCAGGCACGCAAGCCTCAGAGCCTTCTGTTACCCGCTTCCAAATTCACCTTTGTGCTGTCATGCAAATTTACGATGATTTTGGGTGAGAATTACTCTTTTGACAAAGTGTAGGATGTATGTTGTGGTGCTTCCCTTTGACAAGACAGGCAGCGTGCCTGAAGCACGGGCTTGTCAGGATTTTAGAAAGAGCTGACAATGACACAGTGTTATTTCTGTAGAGCGGGATTACCTCTTCCTTAAGTGGTTGCACAGCTCCTTTTGAGGACCTTGCACGGGAATTGTCACAATGCAACCTTTTTAAGTGTTGCCACTTCTGCCACCACTCCTGACTGCTTTTACCATGTTGAACAAAGCAAAGTTCTTGATCGACATAGAAATAACCCAGAGGGTTTTGTTTGTTTGGCTGGTTTTTTAAACAGTCTTTCCAAGTGCCTCCTGTGCCTGTTGAGATATTTTGAATAGCAAAGGATTTGAGGTGGCTGTGACTTATTCTAGGAAAATTAGCATAGGGGATTGATTCACTGTTTCAAAGCCCCTGGATAGCGAAAGGATACATTTTAAAGATGCTGTGTCATTACAGTTCCTTCTGTGTCTCACGGTGCTGGCGTTTGGTATCTTAATGAGATTTTTCCTACAGAAAATGCAGAATGTGCGGATACTCCTGAGTCCTTGTAGGTGCACTTAACCTTGGTATGTTGCCTGCTTTGCACCAGCAGATGGACAAAAGACTTGATTGTTGTGTTTTGATTCTATTGCTTTCTTTTTTGCTTTGCAAATGAAAAAGCTTTCTAGCTGCCAGCCTTGCAGATTCACCTTAGGATCTGTAAGTCAGGCTCTGTTCTCTCCTGCTTATCAGTAGTAACTTTGACTCAGCTCTGGTAGTCATGGTGCAGTTGAAGATGGAAAGTGGGGTTGCCATTTTTAGTTTTCTTCCCCTCCCCCTCCTCTCTCTCTTTTTTTTTTTTTTTTTTTTTCAAACTTTCAAATCATCCTCCTCCACCTTTGTTTGAAAGAATGAAATAGACTTTATTCATACATGCTTGGCTGCTCTTCCTCTCTAGTAACATGGGAGGAAACAGTCTGCTGTTCAAATTATCTCATCCCAGATGGCTGCGCAGCCGGAGTGTGGAGAGACTTAAAAGGTAAACCCAGCAGATGGTGAACTTCTGAAACGCGAAGTAATGCGCCTGCTAAATCAAAAGTTTAAAGTATTTGAAATCTGTTTGTTTTAAATTAGTAGACTTGCAATCAGGTCATCTGTGAAGTACACTGGCAGTTTTAAGCACCGTCCAAGTAAACTTAGGCTTTGTATCTGTGTCATGGGCTAGCTAATCTACCAAAGAAGATGACAAGCAAGTAGCCAGCCTTGTGAGTTTAGTCCTGACCTCCTAGTGGTGTCTAATGGGTTGCATTTTGGAAGACAGACCAGTTTGTGGGGATCTAATCTTCAGCACTCTTGGCTGGGACTCGAATGCTGGTGGTGCTTCTGGTACAATACACGTGTCCTGCCTCAGAGTAGATGTGGGTGCCCGACTCTTCCTGAGGGTAAGTTGCAGTGCAGCATTTTTGGTGCCAGACTGTTGGGACTACTAAAAATACAGTATATGCAGGGCTTAATTTTGTGGAGCTTGATACGCTGTCTGTCTGCTAGGCTGGTTTTCACTCAGGTCCCAGGAAAGGCTTAGTTTTGTTGTTGGTGCCCTCCTGCAGCCTTGGCAGGCTGCTGGCTGAAACCTGCTCCCTGTTGTGGTACTTCTCGAGGAGAAATGCTCCGTGTTTGATACAGGCCTGTATTTAGTAGTGTACTTCGCTGTGTCAATGGGTAGTACTTCTTAACCTAAAATTGGTTAATGATGCAGGAAAAAAAGTGATGGTTTTTTTTTTTTTTTGGGATACTGGGAAATAGTTGATTTCTGAGAATTTTTATTCCACATTCTCAGAAATGCCTCAGCTTTTCCATGCTGTGTTTGCAGTTCAGCACTTCCCACTCACCTGTGCCCTTTGGTAGTAAAACTCTTCCACTGTCCAACCAATCTTCTTCTGAAATGATTATTTACACTACTTGTGGTCAGAAATAAATCTCCTTACGCATAATGTGGGCCACAGCTACTGTGGAATTGCTCAGTGGGCTGGGCCAATGCATGTCCCAACCCCTCCCACAGTGAGGGGAAGGGTGAGGCTGGAGCAGGGCAGAGAGGGCACTGCAGAAACTCTTGTAAGAGACAGTGATGAAGTAGCCTGTTCCCCGCAGTGCCTTCGTCCTAGCCACTGCCAGGGAGCTGACCTGCTTTCCTGAGGTCTTCTGCTGTTACTGAAAGGTGTGTCACTCTGCCTGGAGTGACGGGAGTATTTTAACAGTGTGAATGTAATGATCTTACCTGCAGTAGGACAGCTGGTGATGCCGGGTGCTGTGGGTCTTGGCTGTGTTGAAGTTTTTAACCTGGTTGCTCGTCAGTTTTGCTGGGAGATGCTCCTAGTTATTATGTAAGTTAAGGTGTGTGAATTCGCCCTTTGTTTACTGGTATGGCCAAAGCTTCTAGATGCCTTTTTCTAAGCAGTCCATGCCTTGGAAATAATTTGCAGTTGTATTGCCCAATATTTTCGTCACTGTTGTCCAAATACTTGAAACTGTGCGTAAGAGGGAGCCTGACTGGAGCAGAACACACCGTTCTTAAGCAAGGGTAGGGCCATTGATTTTTTTATATAATGGCATTATGGTTTTAGGCTGTATAAAAACTTGATGGAAAATAATGATGTTTTGTTTGCTTTTTTTGACAGCTTCTGATGGCAGTTCAGTGAGACCTCCAGCAATGTATTTAGTATTCAAATTATTCTGTTCACTATGCGCGGAGTCAACATGTAATTGTGGTGGGGGCAGGCTAATGAAGGAGTAGAGGTAAATTCAGCCCACGCTTCTCGGGGAGAAGGTGCTGTAGTGCCTCCAGTCACATATCTGTCAATGATTACATTAACATCGCTGCAGTTTGCTTTCACTGAGTGA